GGATGATTCAGGATTTTTTTCTTTTTTTAGGTCAGTTCAAATTTTTTTGTTTTTTTGTATGTTGGGTTCAGATTCTTTTCTTTTTGTAGGTTGTTTCAGTTTTGTTGCTTCAGAGTCTTCTTTTATTGTAGGTCAGTTTTGGATTTATTTTGTTGTTTTGGTTTCTTTTTCATTAGACGCCTCATAATTCTTTTCTTTTATGTACTAGATCAGACATTCTGGAGTTCTCTTTCTTTTTTTGTAGGAATGCTGACCTTTGGTGACTTGGACGATTGCAGATGGGGGTTTTGTTTCCAATCTTTTTTTTTTGTTCTTTTAGGTTGTTTGACTCCAAATGAACCTGAACTTATAGATAATTTAGGTGCAATAGGTGGTTTTAATAAAGAGTGAATTTTCATTTGTACTTTAATTGTATTTACATAAATCTAATTTCACTTTATTAAATTAAATAAAAAATAAAAAATAACATAGTAAACTGTAATACAAATAGTAAATTCAGTGACCAAATCGTATAAATTTCATGATAAAATCAGTGATCAAATCATGTAAATTCCATATAAATCCCGTGCAAATTCCATATCCAAACCATATTTTTGGTAATACAGAATTGTGCATTCCTATTATGATACATTATTTCTAAGGAAAAAAAATCGTATAAAAACTTTATAAAAAACGTATCTAATTTTTTTATAGGGGGATATTTCTAATAAAAAAATTTTTTGAGATTTTCTAAGATTCACATAAAATATTTTTGATAATTTTTTTTTTTTGAGAGTTTTTTTGATAATTCATCAAATAACACCGTGAGAACGTTTTTAATGTATAATTCAATAAAAAAAATGTTGCGAACCAATTTTTTATTGAATTATATATTAAAAAACGTTTTTGCTATGCTTTTAATGAATTATTGAAAAAAACATTGCGAATCTTTTTTTTTATTGAATTAAAACGTTATTACAATGCTTTTAATAAATTATTGAAAAAAACAGTGAACTTTTTTTTTATTGAATTATATATTAATAAACGTTCTCGCAACGTTATTTGATGAATTATCAAATTAAAACAATTTCAAAAAAAAAATCTTTATCAAAAATATCCTATATGAATCTTAGAAAATCTCAAAAAAAAAATTTTTTATTTAAAATATCCCATCCCTATAAAAAAATTGGATACGTTTTTTATAAAGTTTTTATACGATTTTTTTTTCTTTAGAAATAACGTATCATAATAG